AAGCTGAGTTAGCGTTAGCTAGCTCACAGTTTTTTAGCCTCCGGCTCACACATTTTTGTCTTTGCTCAGGAAGGAGGGCTCCAGAGCAAACTAATTTGTGCAGGAGCCAATCGCTCGCTCACAGCTTTAATGCCAGGAGCTCACCAAGTAGAATTTTTGCTCACAAGACTCCACAGCTTAGAGGGAGCATTGCTCACAGGGTGTCTGTTGTGGGGAGGGGAAGGGAAAGGAGATTGTAAGCCGCTCTGAGACTCTGCATGAAAGGCGGGGTATAAATCCAATCTCCTCCTCTTCTTCTTTCTAAGACAGATATATTCAAGCTTCCATGTATGGAGGCAATTTAGTTCTCAATACCCCTTGGAGGATGGGGAGAGGCAAAAGGGAAGTTTTTGCCTACAGTGCCCCCTCGTGGGCCTTCTAGGAACCTCAGGCTGGTTGCTGTACGAAGCTGGACACTGGATTGGATGGGTCCTTGAGTCAACAAAGCCTTTCGTATGCTCTTAAAGGGCAGGGACAGGAGAGTGTGGTGCCTGAAAGACAGAAACCTCCGGGCTCTTTTTATAGATAAAGCCCAGCAGGAACTCATTAGCATAATAGGCCACACCCAACACCAGAAACTCATTAGCATATTAGGCCACACCCATGACAGCACAGCTCATTGGCATATTAGACTACACAAATACTGCAAGGAGTGCATGCAATTAACAACAATTGTAAGAATCAGTTGACTCTTGTTATTGAACTTCAAGCTGTTTTAATCTTTCTGTTTTTCAACAGAGGAACTTCCCCGGAATTTTACGGCTCGTTTCGACACATTCTTTCTCAACGTAACGGTTCCTATCAAACATAATTTAGACTCAATACAGGGATTTTCAAAAAGAGAATACGTACAATTTTGCATCCTTACAATATCTGACAACGGACTCTCTCCAATTCTATAATTAAATAAAATATGTCTGTAATTATAATGCAATCTTGTCATGTCTTAATATATTACAAACACTGTACAATATATTTTCAAAACATGATTGGTGAATGCTTACCCACGTAACTTCAAGAGCTCTTGACAAAGTACTTTTACAAACGGACAGCAAGTCTTAATTATTACAAACTCTTATTGCATTATATAGACACGAATCTGTCACGTGCTTCTAACGATGATGCCAACTTATCAAATCTAATATGTACATGTGCTGTCTAAAATGCATGATCTATAAATAATAATCTATTATATGCTGCCCTATCAGGCCGTCATTACTGTAATTGACATTAATGCATAGTACTAATATTAGAGAATCAACTCCTTTTTAATCAGAGCGCATAATCACTTGTAAGGTCATTAAACCCAGTTAGAACACGTAGCTCAATAGTGCCTAATATATACAATTACTAAGAACATGTTGTTATACAGAAGTCTCAGTTATACTAATGTTAGTGTGACTGCACAGACCCCATAATAGACCTACAAAAATTATGAACAAAACAGTCATAAGTATTTACAGAAAGCACAACAACTCTAGTGCTGAATTGAGTCCAGCTGGTTGTATAGTGGATAATTGAAAGCACCAAAAAGCCTCCCTTTGTAAAAGGGTCTTGCATGTGTCACTGGTATTGTACAATTTGGGGCGAATAACCTCCAAGGTGACACATTTAAAATCATCCAGACCATGGCCGGCTTCAGTGAAATGCGGAACTAAAGGACCCTCATGATGGGCATGTTTTAACCTGGATCTGTGCTCAAGCACACGAGTTCTTAGTGCTCGCGATGTTTGCCCGACATATTTAAGCCCGCACACACATACTAACGGATACACAGTCCCCTTAGTGGCACACGTAGAGAAATGTGTCAACTCTTTTTTGAAACCTGTTTCTGGGAACTCCAGCACACCTGTTTCCCACATTAAAGAGCAAGCGGCACATTTTTTACATTTGAAGTGGCCTTTTGGTAAAAAAATCTTGATGACACCTCGAGAGTATGTCTGCCCTGATGATCTTGTCACAAATGCTGGGAGTCTTCCTGAATCCAATAGAGGGAGGGTCTTGGCAAGATTTAATGTTATTCAGAATATGCCAATGTTTCAAAACTATTTTCTTTATGCCCTGCGCCCTATTTGTAAAGTTAAGGGCCCAATGCAGTCTGCTATTTTCAGACCTTTCAGATTTGCCCTTAAGTAGATCTACGCGATCCCTGCGCCTGGCTCTAAATCTGGCAGTGTCTATTATCCGAACTGGGTAGCCCCTTTCTCTGAACAGCTGGCTCAGTCTATCTGATTCCAACTCAAAGTCCTCATTGGTGGTTGGATTCCTTTTGACTCTCAAGAATTGTCCATAAGGGAGGTTAGCTTTCAGGTGATATACGTGATGAGAATCATAATGCAGATAAGAATTTGTCAGTAATTTTGTGGTAGGGACGTACTGCCAACTTATTGTCCCGCACATACACTGTAGTGTCCAAAAAGTTTGATTCAGTGGTACTGGCTGCATGTGTAAATTTTATGGACTCATGGACAGTGTTTAACCACTGCACAAAAAGTTCAACATCATTCATATTCCTAACTAACATAAATAAATCATCAATGTAACGCCTGAAAAAAAGAATATGTTCAGAAAAAGGATTGATGCTGTTGTCCAAAATCCACTTGTCCTCAAACTCCCCCATAAATAAATTCGCTACACTAGGTGCGAATGCGCTACCCATTGCCACCCCTTTGATTTGAAAATAAAAATCATTGCCAAAACGAAAAAAACTTTTTTCAAAAATAATGTCTATTAAGTCCAATAAAAAATGAGTGGGGGGAACATTGTTGGGTCGTTTTTCCAGCGTTCTGAGTAAACTGATCCTTGCTTCTTCGTGGGGGATATTCGTATACAGTGAGGAAACATCAAGTGTAACCCATGCGGTCCCTACAGGTATGGTCAAGCCCTCAATTTGATTTATAAAATCCCTTGTGTCTTTGATGTAAGTGGGTAAAGAACATGTTGTTGTTGTTCAGTCGCACAGTCGAGTCCGACTCTTCGCGACCCCATGGACCAGATCACGCCAGGCCCTCCTGTCTTCCGCCGTCCTCTGAAGTTAGCTCAATTTCATGTTCGTTGCATCGATGACACTGTCTAACCATCTCATCCTTTGCCGTCCCCCTCTTCTTTGACCTTCAATCTTTCCCAGCATACAAATGGCTTTAAGAAGGAATCCACATATTTAGAAAGTGGTTCCAGAATAGAATCTGTTCCTGATATGATGGGTCTACCCAGAGGGGGAAAACCTACTTTATGTATTTTTGGAAGGATATAGAAAATGGGGACTCTGTGGTACTTCTTTAACAAATACTCTGCAGTCTGAGCTGGTATGTATTCAAACAGTGAACCTTCATTCACAACTGTAGAAATCAGTCTACTCACTTCCCAGGTTGGATCATAATCAATTTTGGTGTAAAAGTCAGTGTTTCCCAATTGTCTCTCAGCCTCATGAATGTAATCCTCACGTTCTTGTAACACCAGTGCTCCCCCTTTATCAGCAGTTTTTACAATTACATAATCCATGTCAGCTATTTCTTTAAGGCTGATCCATCGGGATCTAGTTGTATTATACCTAACAGGTGACTCACTTGTGGGACAAACTGGGATTTAACTTTAAAAGGATTAATTTCAGTAAAGCTAGAGTCTTCAAACAAATGCTTTAATTTGATCAATCTAACCAGTTTGAACAAATCTATTCTGACCTGAAAGGCATTGTATCTTGGAGTGCACACAAACCCAGGACCCAAGTTTAAGACATGCATGATGTCCCTTGAAAAAGTCCGACCCGTTAAGTTCACCACTAGTTCCGTTTCCTTCCTCGCCTGTTTGAGTTGTAAGGGACCTGTTCTCTTGCCCTGTTCTTGACTCTCCAATCTAAAAAAGGTCTCCCAGATGGTCCCACTTCCCCAGACGTGGTGGCTGAGTCCTCAGCCTCCGTAGTTTCCATCTCAGATATGGGTTCTCTAGCATCAGTCCAAGACACCCTCTTAGTAGGAGGAGTAGCCATAGGCGAGCACCATTTGTATACTCTATTGAGGGCATAGTCTCTATGGTCCCTATCAAGTTTTTTCAGTTTTGTTTCTCTAGTTCTATCCTCATAGGCTCTTAGCTCTTCCTCAAGAGCTTTAAACTTGTTGCCAAATTCCTCTGGACTAAAAGAAGCTTTGAGTTTGTCTTCCACCAATTTGGCTTCTTGTTTGATATTCTCTGCTTCACGGGTAGCTTCATCAATAATAAGAAGCATCAAGTCAAAAGAGCATTTATTAAGGATTGTGATCCATTTGTTCTTGAATTCCTCCTTATGGAGGAACATAGCTGGACCTTTTTTGAAGTCGCAAACCTCTAGGTATGAGGTCAGAGTTGCAGTACTCAGTAAGAGAGGCTGCATGTAGAGACATACAAACCTCTAGGGGTGTGTCGCCTAATATGCAAAGGAGTCCCTGCTACAAAAAGAGCCCTGCTTACACTGCACATGAGTTCACCCCTGTAATTATCTTGGGGTACTTTTACATTCTGGGCTCTTTTTGTAGCAGGAACTCCTTTGCATATTAGACGACACCCCCCTAATGTAGCCAATCCTCCAAGAACTTACAGAGCTCTTCTTACAGGGGCTACTGTAAGCTCTTGGAGGATTGGCTACATTAGAGCTGTGTCGACTAATATGCAAAAGAGTTCCTGCTACAAATCTCCACATTTGCAGCTCACGGCCTCTGATCAGTGGCATTTCACAGGGAAACCCAGCTTGGATTTGTGTCAAAAATTATCAGACGAGACTCTCCCCATCTTCGTGCTTCCCCCAATGACCCATCCTGTTTCCCCCTTAAGCAGCGGCAGGTCCATAACAAGGGCATGCAGTCCACGAATCAAAGGCAGTGAAAAGAAAGAGGCACAGAATCTAATTTAAGAGACGTTTTTTAATTTATTCCCAATAAAAAAAGTTGGAGTTCCTTCATAATTATTGGATGAAATTATGTTTGGGGGGGGGGGGAGGCAGGGAGATTGGGGGGGGGGAGAAAACACGCTTTGGTTTGAGAATTTTCTTGAGGAGCCAAAAGGGTAAAGAGTAATTCCGTGACATCCCACCGTTGCAGCAACAGACTAGATAAGTACGGAAGGCGGTGGGGATTCCCTTGCTTATTTCCCCCACCTCGAGTGGTGCTTTTGGTAGTCGCTGGATCACTGAAGCAGAAGGTAACAGACCGCACGCCCCGGAATTCTCACAGCGGTTTGGAACGCTTTGGAAATGCCTCCGAGTCCCAAGCGTACAATAGTGTAGTCCCAATCCTGACCCGACAGTCCTCATCGGAGAAAATATCGGCCGGCACGTCCGTTTCTTCCACTGTATTGTTCCCGGCGGGGCACGGCGCTTTCTGGCTCAAGCGTCACAGCTCGTCGTGGGCTGTCTTTGCTACGATCACCAGCTTGGAGAGTTCCGAGCGGAATTTGCCTTCCTTGTGGGAGACTGAAAAGAGGAAGACGGCAACAGAGGCGTGAGACGTGCGGGAGAGGCGAGATGGCAGAACTGCTTGGCCCCGGGAGCCCTATGGGTCCCAGAGGCTGAGAACTGGTAGCAAACATCGCAAAGCCAAGCAAGTTCTGTGACGTGGGATGGCTGTCTCCAGAGAGGGACCCTCGTGAAGCAAGGCTGAAAGCAATTTGCAGGGGTTGGACGCAGAGAGAGCGCGACACAATCCATTTTTGGTCCCACAGCAAGAGGGCGTGGCCAAAAAGTCACCTGCCTGAAGACGATCTAACTTAAGATGTATCACAGTGGGACAGGGGTACCCAACCTGGTGCTCACCAACATCTTGAGAGAGTTTGGTGCAGTGGTTAAGAGAGGCAAACTCTAATCAGGGAGGACCGGCTTTGATGCCCCACTCCTCCACATGCAGCCAGCTGGGTGACCTTGGATCAGTCACAAGTTCTCCCAGGGCCAGTCTCTCAGGAGCAGTCCTCGAAAGAGCTCTCTCAGCCCCACCTACCTCACAGGCGGTGTTCCCTCTAAGCTGAATTAGTGTGAGCTAGCTCACAGGTTTTATTTATTTATTTATTTATTATTTTATTACATTTATACCCCGCCCTCCCCGCGAACGGGCTCAGGGCTTCCAGCTCACACATTTTTGTCTTAGCTCAGGAAGGATGGCCCCAGATCAAACGAATTTATGTAGTGGTCAAATCGCTCACTCACAACTTCAGTGCCAGTAGCTCAGAAAGTAGAAATTTTGCTCACAGGACTCCATGGCTCAGAGGGAGTATTGCACACACGGTGTCTGTTGTGGGGAGGGGAAGGGAAAGGAGATTCACTCTGAGACTCCGAGTGAAGGGCGGGGTATAAATCCAATCCCTTCTTCTATTTATTATTAGGCTTCTAGCAGGCTCAGGGCGGGTTGCAGCAACACTAAAAAACACCGTCCAACCATTAAAATAGCCGTTTAAAACCACATTACAATGAGAACAATTAAGGTCAGCGATGACAATTGATGGCACCCTTTGCCCTATCCATTGCCATCTTCACCTGCTCCTGCTTAGGTTTCCCATGTGACAAATATACTGGAGGAAAGAGGCGGACGAAAGACAATGCAGATGATAACAGAACAGTTCACAACAATGCAGATGACAACAATTCAGTGCAAGGTAAAGGTAAAGGTCCCCTTGCTCGAAAGCCAGTCGAGTCCGACTCTAGGGCTGCAGTGCTCATCTCCGTTTCAAAGCCGAAGAGCCAGCGCTGTCCGAAGACATTTCCGTGGTCATGTGGCCGGCATGACTAAACACCAAGGTGCACGGAACGCTGTTACATTCCCACCGAAGCGGTACCTATTTATCTACTTGCAATTTCTTGCTTTCGAACTGCTAGGTTGGCAGGAGCTGGAACTAGAGACGGGAGCTCACTCTGTCATGCGGCAACTCGGGTCTCGAACTGCTGAACTACCGACCTTCCACAGCCTGCAGTTCAGCGTCTTAACCACTTGAGCCACCGCAGCTCAGTGCAGGGAGGCCAGTATAAATAGATCTCTGCTGCCTCGGCCCGAGGCCTTTCCTGGCACCTGCCAAGTGTTTTTAGAAGTGAGTATGCAAGGACTTCCAATGAAAAACAATGGCAGTCATTCACTTAACACTGGAGAGAAAAATGCCGTTTGTTCTCAAAGGTAAACGCTCCCAGTTCGGCCGTCTGACTCCTCCTGCTTCCAATACAAAATATCAACACACAATTCTGGCTAGTAGATACACTTATAGTCCGAAATACAAACAAAGCAGGGAGATGAGCCGGCTACACAGACTTTTCGGTAATCCTTTCTCAAGACTGGACTTCTATTGAAGCCACGCCTGCAAACTCAATTCCCAGCACTGAAAGCTCCCAACTCTGGCACAGCGTCAATCTCTCCAGTCAGCCGTTTGAGGCTGTGCCAGAGTCACGACAACCGGGAGCCAAAATTACCACCGCTGATGGAACACCCACGCTACGAATTAAATCCCACAGATCTGTTCCACTTAGGGTATGGGGGAGGGGGGACGAGTTGGGGGTAGGGTTGCCAGCTCCAGATTGGGAAACGCCTAGAGATTTGGGGATGGAGCCTGGGGAGGACAGGGACCTCAGTGGGGCACAATCAGGCCCGTGGCCAGGATTTTGTGGCTCGTGGGGCAATATTTTTCCCTGGTGGGGCTGAAGTTCTCAATGCAGAAAGACAAGCCATTTAGCCAATAGGAAGCTGTTACCAGGGTAGATCTCTAAATCGCAAGCTGTCAACCACTTTAGAAGAAGAAAAAGAAGAGATTGGATTTATACCCCACCCTTCACTACCCAAAGGTGTCTCAGAGCGGCTGACAAACTCCTTTCCCTTCCCCTCCCCACAACAGACACCCTGTGAGTTAGGTGGGGCTGAGAGAGCTCTGACAGAAACGGCTCTTTTTCAAGGACAGCTCTTATCAGAACTACGGCTTGCCCAAGGTCATCCATCCAGTAGAAGAAGAAGAAGAGATTGGATTTATACGCTGCCCTTCACTACCCAAAGGTGTCTCAAAGCGGCTTACAAACTCCTTTCCCTTCCCCTCCCCACAACAGACACCCCGTGAGGTAGGTGAGGCTGAGAGAGCTCTTGACAGAAACAGCTCTTTTTTCAAGGACAGCTCTTATCAGAACTACGGCTTGCCCAAGGTCATCCATCCAGCAGAAGAAGAAGAAAGAAGAGATTGGATTTATACCCCACCCTTCACTACCCAAAGGTGCTTCAGAGTGGCTTACAAACTCTTTTCCCTTCCCGTCCCCACAACAGACACCCTGTGAGGCAGGTGGGGCTGAGAGAGCTCTTGACAGAAACTGCTCTTTTTTCAAGGACAGCTCTTATCAGAACTACGGCTTGCCCAAGGTCATCCAGCAGGTGCAAGTGGAGGAGTGGGGAATCAAACCCGGATTCTCCCAGATTAGTCCATGCACCTAACCACTACACCAAACTGAAGAAGAAGAAGAGGAGGAGGAGGAGGAGGAGGAGATTGGATTTATACCCCGCCCTTCACTTGGAGTCTCAGAGTGGCTTACAAACTCCTTTCCCTTCCCCTCCCCACAACAGACACCCTGTGAGGTGGGTGGGGCTGAGAGAACTCTGACACGGCTCTCTGGCTTTAGATGACGGTTCTCAGCTGCTGGAAGTTCATCATTTCTGCTGGCCTAAACAGCAATCCTGAAAACAAGCCGGGGGGGGGGGGGATGACTTCTGTAGACAAGAAAACCAACACGTAGGCAGAAAGGCTCTCTTAAAGGTGACCAGTTTCTTGACATACAGTTAGAAGGAATCCTAGAGGTCACCCGCTCCAACCCCCTTCGCTCAGTGCAGGAAACAGCACCCCACTCTGCTTAAAAGAGCACACTCCTTCTAAAAAAAAAGTTTTTAAATGATTGAGGAAAGCATTTACAGGAAAAATTCTTGTGCAGCTGTGCCTTTAAGAAAGGGGGCAGCGCCCCCATAAGCCCCACCGTAGCTACAGGCCTGGACAGGGACCTCAGTGGGGCACAGTGCCATAGAGTCCACCCTACAAAGCAGCCATTTGCTCCAGGGGAACTGATCTCTGATCTGGTGATAAGCTGGAATTCTGAGGGATCCCCAGGTCCCACCTGGAGGCTGGCATCCCTAATTCCGGCCACGGAGGTGCTTTCCTCCAGCCCAAGGAGCCTTTCAACCCCCCCAAGCATCATGACAAGACTTCTTGGGCCAGAAGTCAGCACACTGCTAGCCTAGCAGACCCGCACTGTCGAAGCCTGCAACCTTCTCACAGGGAAAGCGACAGTTCCAAAACTGCAAGGAGGAGGGAGGCACCAGCTGAACACCAGTGGGCTTTCACGAGCACCCAAACGGCACAGCGAAAGCATCCCACATTTCTCCTCCAGCATCCACCACTCCCGGCTTACCGGCCGTTTCGGTCACGTGGAATTCTTCCTCCTTCAAGGGGACGTCACTCTGTCCTCTGGCTGCGGCCGCGGACTGCAAAGAAGAGGGGCGGAAAAGGTGAGGGAGTCCCAAGAGGTTGTGGATGCTCGGAAGCGTACGCATTTAAACATGCCCAGCCTGCAGAGACGCCAGATTTCCTGGACCTAAGGAAGCACTCGGGGTTGCAGCTTTTATGGAAGCGAAGCAGGCGTAGCCCGACCTGGATGACCCGGGCTTATCCCCTAGATCACATGAGCCACGGAGGGTCAGCCCTGGTCCGTATTTGGAGGGGAGACCACCAAGGAAGTCCGGGGTCGCTACGCAGAGGCAGGCGATGGCAAACCACCTCCGAATGTCTCTTGCCCAGAAAACCCTACTGGGTCGCCACAAATCAGCTGCAACTTGACAGTGCTCTTAGAGATGTGAAGGCCCGGAAAAAAACTGGGGAAATTCGGGGGGAAAACATTTTCCCCCTGTTTTTTTCCTGAAGCCTTTTTTGTTTTTTTCCGAAAAACTGGAAAAATTGAAAAAAGAAAAGTAAAAAAAAATGATTATGGAACGTTTTATTTTAACATGATGAATAAAATATTTTAAGACAAGGTGTTCAAATATTTTCCAAATCGTTTCTAAAAAATATGTATGGTATCAGATTGGATCTAATTTCTGTGCACTGAGGGCAAGCAAGTCCTAGGTTACAAACTGAACTCTCCAATGCAAGAACAAGATGCATTTCTTCCTTTAGGAGGTGCTGTTGTCACAAGAAAATAAAAAGGTTTCAGTTTTGTTTTTGCATGTGGGTGGGTATTCTGTTTGCAATCATTGTTTGGATACACTATATTTTTAATATGCTAGTTGTGATAATTTCATGCCAAGTAAAAATGTCCATAGTCATATTTTATGTTCCTAAAGTAACAGAATGACTTTCAATCTAGAAAAACTTTCAATCTGGAAAAGAAAAAAGAAGTACTAATTAGCATTTTTTTCAATTTTTCCAAAAGTTTTCGATTTTTCCGGGGAAAAACAGAAACAAACCTTCAAAAATTTCCAGAAATTTTACATCTCTAGGTGCTCTCCACCACCAAGCAGGTGTGGTCTGGAAGGGAGGCTAGCACACTTTTCACCTTGTGTCTCTCATCCAAGGAGCTCAGGGTTTTCCCCTCCCACGTTTTGCCCTCACGACTGCCCTGCAAGGTAGGCTAGCTTTAGCGGGAACGACTGGCCCACGGGAGTCACTGAAGGGAGTTTCATGGCAGAGTGGAGATTTCATCTTAGGTCTCCCCAGTTCTAATCCGACACAACCACACACCAGGCAAGAGCCCACGGAAGTCACTGTCGCAGAGAACAGAAAAGAGATTTTGGTAGTAGCTGGAAGACAAACAGATTTCTAATAATCTCTAAGCAGTTTTAAGAACTAATTTAGCGGTCCAGTGGCACCTTTAAGACCAATGAAGCTTTATTCAAGGTATGAGCTTTTCTGTGCAAGCACACTTTTTCAAATACAATGGAATGGGAAATAAGTTTCAAACTCATAGACGGACCGAACATTAAATTAACATGTAACATGATGAAGTTGCTTTAAGGCAGGGGTGTCAAACATGCGGCCCGGGGGCCAGATGAGCCCCCCTAGAGGGCTTCCATCAGGCCTACAGCGGAACTGTCCATCTCCTGCTTCCAGTTCTGCTGCTGCTGCATCATAGCTTGCTTCGCCAGACTCTCTTAATCACTCAGCCATTTCATGTTTTAACCCGGGTGGCTAGACTCAGTACTCTGAGTGTGAGATTTCTGTGGTGAATGTCAATCAATCAAAAGTAGGTTTGCAGCTCACAGAGGTAATGTCTTAAGCATGTTTTTATTTTAAGTTAAAAAAAACCCTTTGTGTTCGTGTACTTTTATCAAGTTTAGTCTCAGAACCCATCTGCAGACCCTCTTCATAACCCTGCCTGATGCATTAGACCAGGGGTGTCAAACATGCAACCCGGGGGCCGGATTAGGCCCCTGGAGGGCTTCTATCAGGCCTGAAGTGGAACTGTGGCCGTCTCCTGCTTCCACTTCTGCTGCTGCTGCTGCATCATAGCTTCCTTCGCCAGACTCTCTTAATCACTCAGCCATTTCAAGTTTTCCCCTGGGCCCTAGACTCAGAACTCTGAGCATGAGACTTCTGTGGGGAATGTCAATAAATCAAAAGCAGGTTTGCAGCTTACAGAACTAATGTTTCAAGCATGTTTTTATTTTAAGAAGAAGAAAAAAAACCTTTGTGTTTGTGTCCTTTTATAAAGTTCATATCTCCGCTACCTGGCATTACATTTTTTGACACACATGGCCCGGCCCAACAAGGTCTCATTTATGTCAGGTCCGGCCCTCGTAACAAATGAGTTTGACACCCGTGATTTAAGACATGCAAAAACACTGTCTATAAGTTTGAACCTTACCTCCCATTCCACTGTATTTGAAAAAGTGTGCATCATGCACACGGAAGCTCATCCCTTGAATAAACCGCTGTTGGTCTTAAAGGTGCCACTGGACTCGAAATTTGTTCTACTGCTTCAGACCAACACGGCTGACTACCTGGAACTGTCTTAAGAAGTGAGCCAGGGGAACAACAGTGTAGTTAATAGCAGTGTTCCCTCTAAGCTGAGTTAGTGTGAGCTAGCTCACAGGTTTTTTAGCTTCCGGCTCACAGATTTTTGCCTTCGCTCAGGAAGGAGGGCTCCAGAGCAAACTAACTGATGCAGCAGCCAAATGGCTCGCTCACAACCAGTGTTCCCTCTAAGCCGAGTTAGTGCAAGCTAGCTCACAGTTTTCTAGCCTCCAGCTCACACATTTGTGTCTCGGCTCAGGAAGGAGGGCTCCAGAGCAAACTGATTTCTGCAGCAGCCAAATGGCTCGCTCACAACTTTCATGCCAGCGGCTCACAAAGTAGCATTTTTGCTCACACAACTCCACGGCTTAGAGGGAACATTGCCAACGTCAATGCCAGGAGCTCACAAAGTAGAATTTTTGCTCGCAGGAGTCCCACAGATTCGAGGTAGCATTGGTTCGTAGCGCTTGGCATAAAGCCCACCCCTCCCACCACGATCTCCCAGGCCCTTGAAAGAGACTTACAAAAGCCCCGCCGTACTCGATCTTCGCCCCCTTCACCTTTGCCTCGAACTGGGTGAAGAAGAGGTAGGATTTCCCCTGGGGCCTGGAAAGGGAAGAGAGAGACAACTGCGATACCAAAGAAGGAAGAGATTATGTACATTCCTGCCTGGGGAAGCAAGACTGCAGGGAGTGTCCCGCCTCATGACTGTCCCAGCAATCGAAGATGCCCATTTGGTGGGCACACGCAAAAGGGCCCTTTCGGCGGCAGCCCCACGATGACGGAAGGCCCCCTGGGCACCTCTGCCCCCTCCCTTTTTGATCTTCGGGAGGCAGCAGGAGGCGGAATGAACTATTTTGTCTCCTACTTAAAACAAATGGGATTTACCCATTCACGTTGCACCAGTATCTTTCCCTTCTTTATCTTATAGCTCGAAACACTCTAATTCTCCTCCCCCAGAAGTCCATCAGGGGCTATTAGCCCCAAGGTATAGATAGGAACTCTGGGGCAAGGGATGCTCTGAATTCTTGGTGCTTGGGGGGGGAGGCAACAGTGGGAGGGCTTCTAGTGTCCTGGCCCCACTGCTGGACCTCCTGATGGCACCTGGTGTTTTTGGCCACTGGGTGACCCAGTGTTGGACTGGATGGGCCATTGGCCTGATCCAACATTGGCTTCTCTTCTGTTCTTATGGATAAACATATGGAGCAGAGGTCCATCAGTGGCTCTTAGCCACAAGGTATAGATAGGAACTCTCAGGCTGGGGCAAGGGGTGCTCTGTATTCTTGGTGCTTGGGGGGGAGGCAACAGTGGGGGGGCTTCAAGTGTCCTGGTCCAGCTGCTGGACCTCCTGAGGGCACCTGGTGTTTTTGGCCACTGTGTGACAGAGTGTTGGACTGGATGGGTGATTGGCCTGATCCAACATTGGCTTCTCTTATGTTCTTACGTTCTTATGTTCCATTCCCAGTTTTATTAGGTGAGGTATCAATGATGCAGTTGATGTTGTTAAAGTAGGAGGTTTGAGGAGGAGGAGGTTGGATTTCTACCTTGCCCTTCACTACCCAAAGGAGTCTCGGAGCGGCTTACAATCTCCTTCCCTTCCCCTCCCCACAACAGACACCCTGGGAGGTAGGTGGGGCTAAGAGAGCTCTTTCAAGGACTGCTCCTGAGAGAATAGCTCTGAAAGAACTTGTGACTGACCCAAAGTCACACCAGCAGCTGCATGTGGAGGAGTGGGGAATCAAACCCGGTTCTCTCAGATTAGAGTTGGTGCTCCTAAGCACTACACCAACTGTCGTAGGTACTGCGTATATTTCAACTTCGCCCCCCCTTCCCATTTTTTCAGGGATGGGACAAAACTATTTTTTTCCACGTGCTGTGAAGATTTCCAGAAGTTTTCTCTCTCTGAAGCTGAGCTAGATAACCAGATGATCCAGGAGGGCTCCAGTTCAAAGAGCATCTCTGCCACAAGTGCAACGGGTGGCCTTAGGCAAAGTCTCCTCTCAGACCCCCCTCTGCATTATGGAGATGAATCCTGGCCTACCTTACAGGGATGTTGTAAGGATGACAAGAGAACACGTGGACAGAAGGGAGCAGTGGCGCAGGGGATTTTCCCCCTGCTTAACTATAACATCTGAACTGCCAAGCTTTGTCAGTTCTAGCCCCGTGCTGGTGTGAGCAACCAAGCCTTGTCCTAGCTCATCGTCTATCCAGCGATTCGAAAGCTTCGGCAAGTAGATAAACTGGGGACCACCCGTAAGGGGGTGGGGGCACACCACTCCCTTTGGGAAGGTGTTAGCTGCCATGTGTGACTTCTGTGGTGCGGCAAGATCAAAAGCCGAAAGATCTGTTTCGGCATCCCTGCAGTGGAGCGAGTCGGCCAGGCGGTGGCAGTGTGGCAGCGCGACATCAAGAAGCCCTGACGTCATCAGCCAGCCGACAAGAATACATGCCGTCGGAACACGACTGATCCAGCCCGCAGATAAATCCCCGGCCAGCTACAATGTGTGTGTAATTAAAAATGCTGTATGTTGTCTTCCCTATCCCCCGCGAATATTGTTAGTCAAATTGTCAAAGAGTAACTGTAAATCGCTATGAGCCCGCAGGTGTGTGGGAAAGAGCGATCAATAAATCGAAAGTATTATTATTATATTATAAAAGCTGAAATATTTACTGTATAAATGCTAAGTTCTCCACCAATGCACACCAGTTTCCACTTACTTTAAGCTGCCTTAAACCACAAGGAAAGTCAGGATAGAAATGTTTTAATAAATAAGTAAAATAGATAAGTACTGTGGGGTGGGTGATGCTGAGGCTCGGGGGGG